ACACTCCAGCTCTCATAAATGTCTTTATAATGCAAAAGATGAAGATGTCCATTTACTACTGTGTTTCCTATCACTTGAAGGTGATAAAGTCCGTGCTAGATGTTTATTGAAGGGTTCAATGGTTTTCTAACCCTCTGTGAATGGACTCTCCACATTGCCTGTTTTCATTAACACAGTTCTGTCTGTCTGTCTGTCTGTCTGTCTGTCTGTCTGTCTTTTTTGGTTTTCCAAGACAGGGTTTCTCTATATAGTCCTGGCTGTCCTGGAACTCACCCTGTAGACCAGGCTGGCCTCGAACCCAGAAATCTGCCTGCCTCTGCCTCCCAACTGCTGGGATAACACAGTTCTCTTAATTTGAATAAAGATAACAAAAGGTTGTATTGAAATCAGCCAGAGCCCAGTCATATTTAATTAGAAAAATTTCCATAATTTGAGATATACTCTTCCTGTATGGAATCCTTTTGATACAGGATTTCTTTACATAGCCAGTGCAGTCTCAGAACTCATTATTTTGTACCAAGTTGGACTCAAGATTGGCCTGCCACTGTCTTCCAGGTACTAGGATTACAGGAGCTCAACTCTAAGGCCAGTTATGGTGCATTTTTAAAGTGACCTATCTGTGAATCAGAGAAAGAAAGGATAAAATAAGATTGACAAAGGAACCTTCATTGTTTTGATGAACAGTAATACTTCTTGGAATTCTACAATAATAATTTAAACTGGCAAGTCAAGTCAAGACAGTAAGTATATTTTTAACATATCAACTGAATTCAGAGATCTGCCTCCCTGTGTAAGCAGACAATTAACTAGCTGGGTGGGATCCTGTCCTAAAATTACCATTCTGCTCATAACTGAGGCACCATAGCTGTGCCCAAACTGACTCTGTCCCAGGCTGACCTTGAACTCAGGAGTCTACCTACCTTTGTATCTTTTTGAAAATGTGGCTTATTGTTGCACCTGCTTTTGTTATTCCAGGTGTGTGAAGTCCCTTATACAATTCATTACTGCATCCTTATATTTTGCATAGTTAAGAAATGATATATTTTTCATGTCAAGTCTTGTGAGTTTTTTTCCCACAATTTTAAGGGCTGTCCTGAAGGTCACAACAGTTACCATTTTTGCTGAGAAATATAGACAAACCTTTGACTCCTGGACACATGATGTTTCTAATTATTATGGAGTCATTAACCTTGGTATGAAGAACATTTCCCAATAACCTTGGAGGGAAAATATTTACCAAAACACGAACATGAAGTAAATTATGTACATTATTATACAAATAAGCCCTAGGCCCATAGCAACTGTCAACACTTGTGGAGGCCAACATTCTGCTAGCTCTTTTCTAGGGGTGGGAACCATGTCAAGCTGTTCCTTCCAAGGACAAGCAGAACTTGAAAACAATTGGTGATCTCCTCCATTACACTCGAAATGATTTACTTCCTTTGTGGCTATGATGAAAAGTGGTAAAAGAAGAGGTTTTTTTTCCCCCCTTTGGAACTGAAGACGACTATGATGTCTAAAGCCTGTATCAAATTGTTCACATGAATAGAGTTTTTCTGTAGCATGAGTTCTTTCCTATTTCCTTATATCAAGATGATATATAGTCTTTAAAAATATTTATAGGACCAAAAACATGACTGAGCAGTTAAGATAAATTCATCTTGAGAACCAAGGTCAGCTTTTTGACAAAGTCCTTTACCTCTTCCTACTAGAAAATTAAAGGGTCTAATATACAAGGAAACCAGAATGCACATACTCACAGAGACACACTGACATCACATGTTTTCCTTGGGTAAGGATTCATTCTAGTAACTCAGGTGTTAAGGCACCTAAAAGCTTATCTACAGAGTTTTTCTTCATCATGTATTGTGGTTCATGTAACAGACAGCAAGCAAGTAGGCTTCAAGTCAGAGAAATCAGTCCTTCTCGGTGGTTTTATTGAGAGAGATTTAAGAAGTACTGCTCTGCTGGCAAAAGTGTTACTGGGATTGGGCTTGGGAGTTTACATCTACACATCATTTCTAGCTCCCACTCTTTGCTTCATACTTCAGCTTGCTGATATAAGCTCCGACCTTCCTGCTTTAGCTGGCATATAACACTTGTTGCATTGCTATCGTCACCCTGATACTATTTCCCTCCAGAAACATAAGCCAAAGTAAACTGCTTTATAAGTTGCCTTAGATGATTTATTTTATAGCATCAAAAATAAAAGGCACTAGTACACAACTAAAAAGCTTTTACACCTAGATGTTTTTCATGTAATTGAAGACAAGTGTAAAATCTAAAAGGGTTACCTTATTATTTAAATTCATAGGGCTTTTGTCTATATGAGCTTGCAATTGCATGCAAAGTAAAAGGGACATCATTATGCTTGAATACATTGTTGACATTTGTCAGAGTTTTTCTCCAGAATAAATAATCTTGTGTAACTGACAGTATGTGAATTGATTAAAGATCTTACCATTTCATCGTAGGGTAAAACTAAGTTCATCTTCCCAGGCTCTAGGGGAAATGGGGACTTTTCAAAAGCACATCACCTTCCACTTTTTATCTTTTGTTCCAGAAACATAATGACACTTCATAACCATGGTTTCTGCTCACCAAAACATAATGACTCTTCAAAACCACAGCTTATGTTATTCATCTTTGTTTCTCATAACATAATGACTGTTCCAAAATACACAAGAACTAATGGATATGTCTGCTTAGACTATAATATCTATAGTCTGCATCAGTTGACATAGATCAGCCACATAAGGAAAAAGAAAGCCCCTACTTCTGAATCCTGATTGGTGGAAAAATATAGATATAACCTGGCACAAGTGTTTCTGGTTTTCTTTTTTCTTTCCTTTCTTTCTTTTTTTTTTTTTTTTTTTTTGCTTTTTAATTCTTCAGTAGATTACAAATTTATCTGAAATTAAGGGTTTTTTTTGATAATTAGTACCTTTTTCTATTACTTTTTTCCTGTGGGTTTTAGAAAGTAGCACAGAAGAGCTATAATAACAGTATCATAGAACATTTTATCAGAGGCAATGTTGGGATTGTAGTGATGTGTTTTGGAACACCAGCCTGCTGTCTGCATTTTCACCTGATCATATTGTACTTACTGTAATCTTTATGTATCTTTATAGTATTTTTAAATGCTAAGTAACTAATGATTTATAGAGAAACTTTCATTTTTCTTCTCCTTTTTTATTTTATTTTTATTCGATATTTTATTTATTTATATTTCAGATTCCTTCCCCAACCCCCTATCCCATCCCTCCTCCTCCTCCTTTTTTTGTCTTTATACTGTTTAAATTACATGCAAGTATTAAGGTCAGTTCTAGGTTGAAGAACTAGCAATACAATAGATGCAAATAGTCCAGGAACAAGGAAGACAATGCACCCAGATAATCAAAGAACATGAACGACAATAAACAGAGTCTTGTGATCACTCCTGTGATCACTATTTCTAAGGGCTTATCAGGATGATCAAAGTATCTGAGGCTACTTTCCTGTCCTAGCCCACAGTCATTTTCATGCCTGAAGCCCATTTTTTTGTTCTAGCTTAAGATTTAGATTTCTGCCTATAATTACTTCTTTGTTCTAGCCTAAGATTTAGATTCCTGCCTGAAATTTCTTCTTTGTTCTGGCCTAGGATTTAGATTTCTGCCTGAAATTACTTCTTTGTTCCAGCCCAATGTCAGATTCCTGCCTGCACTCCATTTCCTTGTCCTTGGCCTATGTCAGATTCCTGCCAGGCAGCCCCAAAAGCTCTCCACATCTCCCCTTTTTATTGCATAAACCAGACTGAGCCTGTTTTAGGTCGTTCTGACAAGAAAGCCTTCCTTGTCCGTCTGGAATATGCATTATCATAAATAATGCACTTATGTCTTAGGTTGGTAAGGCTCTGTGCAGAATCTTACCCGTCCTTGGCTTGCCAGCCTGTTAAATTAATAACTCTGTCTGGGGGTCCATTATCAGTTTCAAGTCATGTACTTTGGCTGCCAGCCTGTTGATGTAGTTAGAGACAAGGTTTAACATGATGGGCAGGAATGAAAGTATTCCCAGAACAAGGGCTAGCCTGATCAAGCTATATATGTCATTCCTGATGTTTGACCAAAATGGAAATACTGACCTCATGCCATGGGTAACTTTTTTGGCATTAGCAGCAGCATGAAAGCTCAGCAGAGCAGCATTCTTTAAGTTCACAATCTCACTATACAAAGTTAACACACCCAGAGAGGTGTTAGGATTATGCAAAATATCCTACAGGTGTCTTTAAACTTTTTTTCTAATTATAATGACTATCGTTGTAAATTTTAGAAGTAACACTGCTCCAATATTTGTCATGACAATTGGGATGGCTCCTAACTCTTGAACCCTGAATCTCTTTCAGATAATTTGAATAGAGCATCATCTGTTGACCCAGATGCCTATATAAATCCTTTTGTATACTAAATACATTAGTAACATTTTTTTTGGTAGATGGTTAACAAAAATAGTTGTCTTAACTCCTTGTGTCAATGCTATTGCAGAAGCAGTGGTGCTAGCAATTAATGAAATTAAAGCTGTTGTATCAGCAATATATAATCAAGCCTGCTGCCCTCTTGCTTCTGCTTAAAGCCTAACTCACTTCTTCCAGCACTTTCAAGCTTTTTTCAGAGATTCAAGGTTTTCTAATACTCAGGGCAGTAAGACAAAAGCTGGTTGATAGTCTGCTTTTCAAGCTTAAAAGTTTTGTAAGATTCAGGTTCAGGCACAGGAGGGTTTGTGTTACAGTTCTTCTCTTGAATTAGATCTGTGGCCCTGATCAATCAGCAATAGACTGATTAAAATAAATTCTTGTCATTTGCATTGACCTGGTGTTTGAGTAGTGTTGAATCTCAGTGGATTCTATAACACAAAGGCCCTACAATGTTGCTTATGTTGATACAATTTCTCCCAGTATGAATTTTTCATAATGATGAAGAGCATATAAATGCAAAAGTTTCACCATATTAAATACATTCATAGAATTTTCTAGTATGAATTCTTTTATGCTTTTAAAGATGATAAAGAAAGGCAAAGGCTTTACCACATTGGTTACATTCATAAGTTTTCTCTCCAATATGTATTCTTGTATGTTCTAGGAGACAAGTCTGGCTTATGAAGTCTTTACCACATGATTACAAACATAGGGTTTATCTCCACTATATGTTCTTTTATCTTCTAGAAAATGGTTCTGACTTACAAAGGTTTTACTGCATTGCTTACATCCATAGGTTTTCTTGCCACTATGTGTTCTTTTATGTATTTGTAGAGTATCATGACATGCAAAGACTTTACCACATTGCTTACATTCATAGGGTTTCTCTTCAGTGTGTGTTCTTTTATGTACTTGGAGACTACTATGATATGCATAGGCTTTACCACATTGGTTACATTCATAGGGTTTCTCTCCATTGTGTGTTCTATTATGTTTTTGGAGACTGTCATGACTTACAAAGGTTTTACTACATAGCTTACATTCATAAGGTTTTTCTCCAGTGTGTGTTCTTTTATGTATTCGAAGATTAGTGGAATATGCAAAAGCTTTACCACATTGGTTACATTCATAGGGTTTCTCTCCAGTGTGTGTTCTTTTATGTATTCGAAGATTAGTGGAACATGCAAAAGCTTTACCACATTGGTTACATTCATAGGGTTTCTCTCCAGTGTGTGTTCTTTTATGTATTCGAAGATTAGTGGAAAATGCAAAAGCTTTACCACATTGGTTACATTCATAGGGTTTCTCACCAGTATGTGTTCTTTCATGTATTTGAAGATTACTATAGCATGCAAAATCTTTACCACATTGGTTACATTCATAGGATTTTGCTCCATTATGTGTTTTTTCATGTATTCGGAGATTCTTGGAACACACATAGGTTTTACCACATTGGTTACATTCATAAGGTTTCTCACCAGTATGTGTTCTTTTATGTTCTAGGAGACTACTCTTAATTACAAAGACTTTACCACATTCATTACACCCATAGGGTTTCTCTCCAGTGTGTGTTCTTTTATGTATTCGAAGATTAGTGGAAAATGCAAAAGCTTTACCACATTGGTTACATTCATAAGGTTTCTCTCCAGTATGTGTTCTATTATGTTTTTGGAGACTACTATGATATGGAAAGGCTTTACCACATTGCTTACATTCATAGGGTTTCTCTCCAGTATGAATTCTTTTATGCCTTTCAAGATGACTGCTGTATGAAAAGGCTTTACCACATTGCTTACATTCATAAGGTTTCTCACCAGTATGTGTTATTTTATGTAGTTGGAGAGAATTGTGATATGCAAAGGCTTTACCACATTGGTTACATTCATATGGCTTCTCTCCAGTGTGTGTTCTTTGATGAATTCGGAGACTCCTGAAATATCCAAAGGCTTTACCACATTGGTTACATTCATAGGGTTTCTCACCAGTATGTGTTCTTTCATGTATTTGAAGCTTACTATAGCATGAAAAGTCTTTACCACATTGGTTACATTCATATGGCTTCTCTCCAGTGTGTGTTCTTTGATGAATTCGGAGACTCTTGGAACATGCAAAGTCTTTACCACATTGATTACATTCATAGGATTTCTCTCCACTACATGTTCTTTTATGTACTTGGAGTTGACTGTGATTAGATTCATAGGGTCTCTTTCCAGTAAATGTTATACTACATTTTTGGAGACTATTGTGATATGCAAATGCTTTAGCACATCGATTATTTTCATAGGGTTCCTCTCCACCATTACTTCTTTCATGCCTGTAAAGATAATTGACACACATCAAAGCTTTACCACATTCATTACACTGACAAATCTTTCTATCTGTAGGAATTAATTTTACAGTTTGGTCTAATAGTAAAGAAGAATCAGATCTTAAGGAATTATCACTTTGTTTACATTAGTGGCATTCTCCATCAGTATGGGTTCTTTTGCATCTAAGATGATACCTGTGACGTTAAGAGAATTTATTACATGGGTCCTATTTATACCATCATTTCTCTATATGTTTCAGTATATAAATACTGAAGAGAACTAGAAAAGCTCAGGGCTTTACCACACTGAGTGCATTCGTAAATTTCCTTTTACTGTGAAATACACATTTGTATACTGCATTTACAATATGAACCAGGACAAACAGAAGAATTTCCACATTCCTGGTACCGTAGGGATTTTCTGCAATGTGACTTTATGGATGAACTTTATGAAATTGGAAAGCCAATTCATTGTAAACTTGTATCACATTCAGAAAGTCTACTCAATGTGGGAACTACTATATATATTCTATTTTTTCTGGAAGACAGAGAGGTACATAATTTCTTTCAAATTCCTATGCTCACATGGTTTGTATCATTTGTTGCATATGATATACATATTAAAAGAAGAATAACAAGTGAAAAGGTTCCGCATTGCATTTCACACAGTGACATTTTGTTCCTCATAGACATGTGGTATAGGATTAGGATTTCTCCAAAACAACATTCTTGACTCTCATAAGCATCCATTCTCACTTAAAGTTAGCAATGTTATGACAAGTATATGAGTATCAACAGCTTTAATATGAACTATTTGCCTATTAGAAGGTTTTGCACATATACCTATGACATACTCAATGTGTATACATTTTGCAATATCTAAGTGGTATGGTATTAAACAGATTGCCATTTCTAACCCATAATCTAATGGAGCTACTATACAAATACTGATATTAGTTAAAGCACTGTTTCCTTCTCTTCTTTCCTAATACAATGAATTGCAAGCACAAATCAGATACTAGAGATTGGGGAACATGGTTTTGGAAGAATTTAATAATCACTGACACGCTTAAAGCAGTCCCTTTTTTACATTGTTGCTTTTCTTTAAAACTTCCAGGGAACACAAATATTTCTCAAGAGGCATATTCAAACCAACATGCACATGAAAATTACCTTCCATGTCTTCTAGAACTTTGAAAATATTCTTCTATATTGTCATCTTCACAATTGTAGCCTAAAAAAATTAACAAAAAAATTTATGACAGGTTATTGGAATTAGGCCTAATTTACCTTTCTTACCATCTTCAGTAAACTGTATAACGATGCCTGATTCATTCACCTCATGCTTCCTCATTATCAACTGAAATTACAGAACAGCATCAATAACAAAGAAACAATTCTCCCTTTATTTTAAAAAGTGAAAGGCAATTCACTCTTACCTATAGACATGAGATTCCTGTAGGTCTCCAGCATCACATCTCTGTAGAGAATCTTCTGTGAAGGATCCAGTAAAGTCCATTCTTCAAGAGTGAAGTTCACACACACATCATCATAGGTCACTGAATTCTAAAATATCCCATACAGGTATAAAACACAGAGCATGATGTCAATATCACATTATATATATGCCTCACTGACAATATATTAGAGTAATTCTGGTCCTTCCCCCACTGATTTCTTGACCCAGAAGTACTAATGTAATCACCAAATTATGTCTAAAGGAACCTGAATAATGGGGTTCAACTCTGTCATTTCTGTGTCATTTCTATACGATATAGGCTTCCAATAGAAATGCCAATTAACAGAGAGAGGGTGGGAGGGAGGGGAGACAGGAGAGAGAGAGGGAGGTAGAAGCAGTACTGAGCACACATCAAGAGAAATGGTATGAACAATTACTAACAAGGAAAAAAAATGATGGTCAAATTGGGTGTGTTGGCTAATTTTTAATCCCAGAATTCAGGAGGCAGAGGCGGGTGTTATCTCATTGAGCTAGATGCCAGCTTGGTCTACGCAATGAGTTAGTTCCATGAAAGCCAGAGGAACATAGCAAGACCCTAATTCCCCTGCAAAAATCAATGAGATGAATATAAAAGATAGAAAATAGAGTTCTTTACTGAAGTTCCTGCAAAGAATTATATGCTCATTCCAGTTTGGTATTCATCTTTCAGAAACTTCAAGTGACCCATTTTAAACTTGACACTAATAATATCTTCCTAAAAGGAAATGCATGTTCAAATCGTTGTTAAGTGCACAGATGAAAATATTGCCAATGTAATGTTGATCCTCTAAATAAGCAACATAGACCAGCAGAGATGGCTCAGCAGAGAAGAGATCCTGCTGGTTTGCAAATAATTGAGCTCAATTGCCAGTACTTACATGTGGGCTCACAACTATCCATTATCCCAACTTCAGGGTTTCTAAGGTCATCTTATGACTACTTTGAGGGCCAATGAGACACACATGAGGAACATTTTAATGAATATAGGCAAAATACTCATATTCATTAAAAATTTTCTTAACAAACACTACAGGTAGGAGAAAAGGCACACTCCTGCAATTCAATCAGTCAAAGAAAGAGCTCAGGTAGTAATAATGACATGATTATATACCATCCTGAGAAAACTAATATACTTTCTGCCAAATTTCAAAATTCAAGATGTACATGAAGGTCAGCACAACAACACATGTTTCACATGTGCAAAAACATACACTGCAGGTCCATGAGCCAAGAATAGAAAGAAAAAAAAAAAAACAGTCTAAGGAACAGCCTTGGTTTTGAGAGGATTTTGAGATCAGTGCGGAGTGGAAGGGCAGGATTTGAAGCCAAATCATGGGAGCCTGTGTTTGGCTGGAGACAGGTTTCAGAAGATCATCAGATGGTTCAGTTCTTGCAAAACAAAGCCTTTTCTTTTATTTACATTTCAATTGTCCATCCCAGGTTCCCCTTTGATTATTCCTCTGGTCTGCATCCCTTGATGACTGCCCCCTGATTCTTAGAAAAAGACAGCAAGTAATTCTTTCTTCTTTTGTTCTTAGCATTGCAAATGAGTTCAAAGATCTGCCTATCTTTGTAAGTAAGGACAATAAGTTCAGCTGAGTGGGATCAGCCCTGAAATATCCACTCAGTAGATCTTTCTCTCCTTTCTTAGTGTCTTTCTGACAAACTGATTCATAGTGCCACTTCCTTTGTTCTTCTACATCTTTGAAGTGCCTTATACAATTCATCTTTCATAGTTTTACTTTGCATTGCTGAGAAATTAGAATATCCTTAATATAAACAGGCTAGTTTAGTACAATAGTTTTTTTTTTCCACAAACCAATGTCTTTCAGCAGCTGTGGTATTTTGTTCATTAGCATTTAAAAATTTCAAGGTTAATAAAGCGCTATGTAATCTATCTTTAGGGGTTCTTGTTGATCCCTTTTGCCTATTAAGCATCTCTTTTAGAGTTCAATTAGATCTCTCCACAATTGCTTGTCCTGTAGGTGTGTGATATGCCTGTAACATGTTTTAAATGATAATATGCAAAAAATTGCTTCATCTTATTCGAGATACATGCCAGACTGTTGTCTGTTTCAATTTGTATGAGGATTCCCATAATGGCCATAACATCTAACAAATGTGTAATTACAGAATCAGCCTTTTCTGACGCTAAGGCAGTTGCTCATTGAAATCCTGAATATGTGTCTATAGTATGGTGCACATAGTAAAATGGAAGACATCCACTTGCCAAATGTCATTTCTTTGGGTACCCTTAGGGTTAATTCCTGTAGGCAATGGAGTTTGGCTATATAATGAGCAAGAAAAGCTGTGGGTTCCTTCCAAGTTGATAAAAATCAGACATGACAAGGGAGATCTCCTGAAGACCTTGGTGACAGAGAAGAAAAGGGAGACTAACACAATCAACAAAATAGGTGATATATATATATATATATATATATATATATATATATATATATATGGTGATGTTTATGTCTCTGTATATGGAAACAGATCTGGAACTGGCTGAGACTAAAATGTCTTTACACAGCCAATAACACTTATTGGGTACAAATGTCTCATCACTTGTTATTACATACCATCCTTTACGATGGGATGTATACAAAATTATATTGCAGTTTGATTATGTGATCAAACTAACCTGAAAAAAGACAGTCGTCTTTCTTTATTGATCTTCATTAACCAGTCTGTGCACCCTGCATGCTCCATGTGAATGTCTTTATAGAACTATATGCTGCTTGTAAATTTTGCTTATTACAGGATGAAAGAAGAGAAAGACAGTGCTGAAAAGATTCACACACCCTGATGCTGAGATTCTGAGACCTTCCATTCCAACTTCACATTTGATTCTACCTCAACTACGTCCAAGCTGCTTCTTTTAAAGACTTGATTCCAGAACTTTTCCAAAACAGCTAGCTTGCCTATCCAGCCTTTCAGACTGTCACAGTCAAGATATCAGCTAAGCAAACGATGCCTAGCTCTCCTTTGACAAAGCCAAGTTTCCTATTTCCTTTTGGGCCCTCAGAAGGGAATTCTTTGCTTCAATTCATCTGGAAGCAGACAAAAGAAGATGGTTATCCCAGTTCCTTATGTTTGAGTGGATGGCTCTGGTTATTTTATGAATTATAGATATGCTGTCATTGAAGGGATACTTTACAAATATACCTTTGGACAGGGAAGGAACTAGAGAGCTTAAATTCAGGGATTTCTACCTTTCCTCTTCTCTATCCTTCCTTCTTACGTGAACAAGAAGGAGGTGAAAGAGAAAAGGAGGCATATAGTAATATCATAGAAGTTAGAGAAATAGAAAAATAGGGATAGGTTAGCAAATTTACTCTTAAGCAAAACATTACATAGCTATTATCTTACATTGGTAACAATCTTTATAATTGATACAAAGTTGAAGTTATAATCTCTTACACTGGTAAAGAATTTACTTGACACAAATTTAAAGTTTTCATTGGTATGAATTTCTTATTGATATAAAATTGGGATTAATATTGTTACTCTCATATAGGCATTGTGCCTATACAACACATTTACGAATACAAGGCTTAGACTCAATCCTTCTATAATTGCTATTATAAACTGTTTTTAGATGATTAAGCAATAAGAGTTAAGGGCCAGATAGCAAACTCATGGTTCTGAGTTAATTAAAAGGGTGATTTTGAGATATTTCAATTAAAAATATGGCCAAGAGTAGTCAAGGCTTAACAGTTCAGAAATGTTTTGTGTAGATAAATAGTCTTCAAAGACATCAGAAGTCCACAGAATATGACACTTATGGACATTTATTTATTAAGGCTAGAGACCTGTCTGCTCCTGACAGCATCCCTTATTTGGATTCAAAGAAGAAATCGAGCATCATTGGAGTTACTCTAGTTGTGGTGAGATAGCCACTAGGCAAGAATTGCCTCAATTCATATACAGTTTAGAAAAAGGATACACTATGCAGAATAGTCAACTGATAATCTCTGACAAGACAGGATAATCATCTCTTCAAAATTTTGTGTTACACAAGTCTGGGCTAGAAGGCTAAAGACTGATGCTCCAACCTTTTGAAGAATAAGGGACTGTCCAGGTGTTCAGAGGTCTCTATAAATTGGCTAAGTTTTGGAAGCTATGTTTTGTGCTTCTCTTATTTTCAGATAATATCAGTCATTCTTGGATTTCTGACAGGGTTGAAGATTGGTAGTCTCATAGCCAACCCAAGCTATTTAGCACTGAGAAAGATGATACAGATTCGAGAGGATGGTTTTCATATAGCATATAATCTAAAACCAGGACATAAATCAGGTGTAGAACTATAAGTCTTTTAAGTTAGGATAGATGGCAGAGTGTTTATTTAACCAACAAAATCGATGGACTGTGTGTTAAGTGTATCTTATACTTCATAAATTGTAGAATGGTAATAGTTGTACTCAATTTATATCTGAGAGAAAAGAGCCTTTTAATTGGACAAAAAGGGGGAAATGTGGACTGCCCTGGTGCCATGTATTTTGATTCTAATTCCACTTCCCCAAGAGGGGATCATTTGGCTTGGAGATTCTTAGGTTATTTCAGATTGCCATCTGAAACTACATAGTGTTATTTTTCTCAGCAAATCACAGACTTTGTATTTGTTTCTGCCTTTGTTGCAATTATTTTCACTGTAGTCCTGAATGAGTGACTAATAACAGCCATCACAGATTTAATATTGCATCTAAGAAATCAGTCCATTATGTTTTAATTCTGCCTTACTCAGTTTCTCAGGGCATGGGCAGAATATGAAAGATTTTATGTCAAAATATCACACAAATGACCTCTAGATAAATTTTTCATATCCACTGACATACTACAACCTCAACTTCCTCTGTCTGGATTACATTCAACACTCCCACCTTACAGTCTTAAAAGAATGGCCAATTAAGCAGTCTGTACAGCTCTCTATGCCCTTTGCCTTCTCAAGTCCTGATAATTTCCATATTCTGTGCCCTCCACCAGCCTCGAGCAGGCTGGAAAGACCTTGTTTACCACAAGAGACCTTGTTACAATAGGACGTTGGTGGAGTTATCCACCCTGGCTGCAT